AGGAAAAATAAAACTTGACGTTGATAGCATAAAAATGATTGTTGACCATAACCAATCAAAACTTGATGAACTTGATCGTTTCGATACTGTTTTACGTGAGGAAATAAAAATTTTTAAAAACGAAATAAAAGAAACATTTTCTAGCATTGTCAGCAAGGAAGTTAAATTGAATGTTGAAGTAATTAGAAGTGATGTCAAATCAATCCAGAAAACTTTACAAGAAGCTAGTGACGTTAAAGAAAGAGAAACAAATTTATTGATGTTTCGTTTAGCTGAAAGTGATGATCGTTTCAATGTTTTGAAAATTTTAAAGCATTTGACAGGAGATGTTTCTGAGAAAAAATGTAGTCAAAATAATGAGACTGGGAAGGAAATGCGAAACTGTCGTTAGACCCATCTTGATAAAGTTAGATTGCATTTTACTCAGAGACTCAATAATGAGAAATGTATATAAATTCAAGTCGTTAAAAGAATTTTCACTTGTTGGACTGAACTATGATTTAACAAAGGATCAGAGGCAGGAATTCAAATAATTTGTTGATAAAGCTAAAGTTATGGAGCGAGAAGAAAACAATCAAAATTTTTTGTTCAGAGTGAGAGGACAGGTAGGGAGATGGAAGATTGTAAAAATACAGAAAAAACCAGTGTTAATATAAAATATGTCAAGAATTTAGAAATAAATGATAACAATGATAAAGACTGCAACATAATAAATCGTAATTTAACACTAGGTTTATTGAACATTAGATCATTGATTTCTAAAACTGATACGATCTATGATTTGATTCATGATGGGCTAGATATTTTCGTTTTAGTCGAAACTTGGCACGGATCTTCGAATAACATTTCTGTTAAATCATCAATGCCACCAGGATATAGTTATGTTGATTTTTTAAGAATAAATTATCCTCACCATGGGGGTTTAATTATTTACTTCAGTAATGAATTTAAGTTTAAGAAAATAGATCTGCCAATATTGAGTTCATTTGAAGCACTTGCTGTTAAATTATTTATTAGCAACAAAGATTTTGTTCTATTAGCCCTCTACAGGCCAGGATCAGTTTTAGTTAGTAATTTATTTTTTGAAGAATTTTTATGTTTACTAGAAAATATCACTTCTTTTAGTTTAAATATCACACTTTTGGGCGATTTCAACATTCACCTTGAGAAACAGGAAGATCGTCATACTGTAAATTTATTGGAAATATTAGAAATGTTTCAATTAAAAAATTTTATCTACGAACCGACTCATGAACATGGAGGTATTCTTGATCTGATTATTTGTTCTCAAGATTTTCAGATTTCAGATATTAAGATTTTTCCCAGTGGGACTTTTTCAGACCATAGTTTAATTCAGGTTAACATACCATTAACTTATAAGCGTCCTAAAATAGTCAAGAAACAAGTTAGATCCTGGAAATATCTAAATGAAAGCAATCTCATTAAATATATACAGACTTCTCCATTATCGAGGTCTTGCCAAAGCAATAATATTAATATTGAGTTTGATATGAGTTCTGAACTCAAGAAATTGGTTGATGCAGTTGCTCCACTTCGTTTTGTAGAAGTCAGATATGATGTTAATGCTCTGTGGTATGATGGTGAATGTAAATCTTTCAAAAGACTTTGTCGAAAGAAAGAAAGGAATTACAGAAAATATCAGACAGAGAAATGTAAAAATGAGTGGATAGCAGCTCTGAAAAATAAATCTAGGCTTTTTTCACAAAAAAGAAACAGTTATTGGAAAAGACTTGTAGCAGACAATAGTGGATCTTTTAAAAATCTATGGAATGTTATTAATAAAGTCCTTTGTAATCAGGTCACTGGTCAGTCATTGAGTGAAATTGTTGGTTTAGATTCGTCTCAATTCTTAAAGTTTTTTTAATGATAAAGTAAATAAAATTAAACAGTCTACCAATGTGAGTAATTGTCAGACTATTTGTCAAGCTCAGTACAATAGAAATTGTTCTTTTCCTGACTTTATGCTTTTAACAGAATTTGACGTTAAAAAAATTGTACTCAGTTTGCCATCAAAAACATGTATGATAGATGTCTTTCCGACCCATATTTTAAAGAAATATATTGATTTATTCATTGTTTTTCTTACCAGCATCTTAAATCTGAGTCTGAGCAGTGGCACATTTCCTAATGGTTGTAAGCATGCTATGGTTTATCCAGTATTAAAAAAAATGAATATGGATCGAAATGATTTGTCTAGTTATAGACCAATTTCCAACATCTGTTTCATTTCCAAGATATTTGAACGAGTGGTTGCCAAACAGCTCTTGAATCATTTGAATGTAAACAACCTGCTACCAGTTCACCAGTCTAGATATCGCCGCTATCATTCAACGGAAACTGCACTGTTTTACGTGTTTTCTGAGTTGTTTGCTGCTTTGGACAGACAACATGTTGCTCTAGTCGCGTTTTTAGATATGAGGGCGGCATTTGATTGTGTAGATCATCAGATTCTCTTGGAAAAATTGGTTCATGATTATGGTATTTCCGGTACTGTTATCAAGTGGTTCAGATCATATCTGTTTGACAGAAAGCAACAAGTAGTCTTCAATAATGTGTTATCTAATGAAACGGTTTTGACATCAGGAGTGCCACAAGGTTCAGTGCTTGGGCCTATTCTTTTTATCATGTATACCGCTGAAGTTTTTAAAGTAATTGGTAATTTCGGTTTTAAATATCATGCCTATGCTGATGATATTCAGATTATAGTTAGTAATAAGTCAGAATTACTGCAATCTGAAATCAACAAACTTGTAACCTGCCTAAATAACATTAGATAATTGGATGTCAAACAATGGTCTTAGATTAAATCAGCAGAAGTCAAAATTTGTTCCAATAGGTACGTGGCAGCAGCTGATGAAACTTAATATCGATTCAGTGAAAATAGATGTTAAAATAGAATTTAGTGACAAAGCAACTAATCTGGGTTTCATTCTTGATTCTAGATTATCGATGCATGATCATATAAAGATGATAACAAATTCTTGCTCCGGATAGATTCGAGAACTCTATAAACTCCGTAAGTCATTAGATAAATCTGCTATTCATACCTTGGTGCATGCATTGGTTCATTCACAATTGGACTATTGCAATGGTCTGTTTTACGGTTTGCCAGATAGGTCTATTTCTGCAATTCAATCTATTCAGAATAGAGCAGCCAAATTGATTGTCGGAGGTCTCAAATTTAACCATGTTACTCCAATTCTTAAGAGCCTTCATTGGCTTACTATAAAGAAAAGAATTAAATATAAAATATGTATTTTAATGTATAAAACTGTGCATGGCTTGTTACCAAATTATTTGATAGATAAAATAAAAGAAAAGTCTATAATGATGAGTGGTATGAACCTTAGATCAGATGATGGCATTTTGCTGGTTGTACCTGATGTCAATCTGCAGATAGCATCAAAAGATTTTGCAGTATCTGGACCAATGGTTTGGAACAGCTTATCGAGATCTTTTAGAACTAAAGATATGAAACTTGATGATTTAAAAAAAAACTTAAAACTTACTTATTTTCGCTTTGATTTTGTTGTTAAGTGAATAATTATTTGTTTGTTACTACCGCCATTGACTGTACTTTTTTCTTTTTTGACTTTGTTTGATTATAAATAGCGCTTTTGAGAACTTTTTGATTTTAATTAGCGCTTATAAATGTTTCATTAATAAAAAATAAAAAACATAATATATATATATATATATATATATATATATATATACACACACACAACTATTTATAAAGATCACTGCGTTTTCAGCATCATTCAACTACAAGTTGAATAATGCAGAAAACGCAGTGATCTTTATAAGTAATTGTATTTGATAGTTTAAACCCAAAATATAAATATATATATCATTTATATATAATAACTTCTTAATATCTAATATCTTAACTTGGACTCTCGTGGCCGAATGGTTAGCGTGTCCGTCTACCACTCCCACGACCCGGGTTCAAAACCTGCAGTTTCTACAAGTTCATCCGGGTTGCCGATCTCCAGCCAACCCAGCCGTCCATCCTTTCGAGGCTGGTAAATGGGTAGACGACGTAAGTTGTCGCATGTTGGTCGACGAGATGGCTCAGTGGTTCAAATACTCACTGAGTCAAACATCTCAATGGCTATCATATACTCAGCGTATATGATGCAGTGCTTGCGCGTGCACATAAATACATGTGTACGTCGTGTGAAAAAGATTTTTGGCAAAGATGGCTGCTTCAAATCAATGGTTGAAGATATGACGAACATAAATAAAAGATATACAGATAATATATTTGTAATATTTAAATGGTTCTGCGTATGTCAGAGCTGCAATAATAAATACTAAAAAAAAATTTATTTTTCTTAAGTCATTAAAAAAACATTATTATTAATATTATTTTACGTATTTTTATTTTCATATTTTAAATTGTATGAATATTGCATTAGAGTTTAATTATTTATTTTTTAATTTTTCAATATTATTATTCATGTAGTTCAATCCTGTTCATTTTATAATTTTATTATATTGGCTTAATTTTCTCAGATAATTTTTATTTTTGAATTTCATGCATTATTATTTTCCGAATATTTTTAATTATTATACATTAACTTACTTTAATACTTTATATACTAAAATACCATATATTGATTTATCCAATTTTATTTATTTGTTTGACTCATGTATTTATCTTATGCTGGGTGGCACTAGCTATGAGACGTGTTCTCTGCAGGAAACAAGATGGAAATCAAATGGTGCCTCTCTCATTGGGAATTACAAGTTGTTCTGGAATGACCAAAAGAGAGTCCAAAATGGAGTGGGAATCTTTATACGGGAATCACTGGCACAAAATGTACTGGAGGTGACTCGAATCAGCTCACGCCTAATGCTGATTAAACTCAGAATGGGAAAACATGTTCTGACTGAAGACGCTTCTGGAACACACTCTCAGATGCCGCCAGGAAAACACCATCATTAGAGATACCATTGATATGTGGCGACATCAACGGCCATATTGGAGATAAAGCAAATATGTTCCACGGTGTCCATGGAGGCTTTGGCTACGGGTGTCAAAACGAAGACAGTGTACGAATTCTGGAATTTGCTGAAAACCATGAACTCTCCCTGTTGAACTTTTACTTCAAGAAGAGGGGAGAACATTTGATCACATATAAAAACGGGATGTCATGCACACAAATTGACTTTATTGTCGTCAGACAACACAGACGACTATTCAGGAATACCAAAGTTATTCCAGGCGAAGCATGCATCCCTCAGCATCGATTGCTGGTGGCCGATATGATCATGGAACGATCACACTCTGTGACCGATCGAATGCCTACTAGAATAAAAACATAGAAACTGAAAAACCCCATGTTCAGGGAGAAATTTGAGGAATTGGTATCGGCACAGCTGTATCGTCTGGAGAAGATAGACATAACCTGGAAATCTTTTCAGGACACCCTAGTGAACGCTGCAACAGCTGTATGTGGGAAATCTGGACGAAAACGCCAGCACAACTGCGAAACTTGGTGGTGGAACGAGACGGTGCAAAATGCTATTGCCAGTAAGAAAGCAGTTTTCAAACAATTGCAGAAAACGAAGACTGATGAAGATTTAAAGACATACCGATCAAAGAACACAGAAGTGAAATGTCAGGTTGCGATAGCTCGTGCAAATCAATGCAAGGTATGGCTGACTGGAAGTAAAGGCGAACAAATTCGGTCACTCTACCGAATAGCAAATCAGGCCAAAAGATTGAAAAAGGATATAGTTGGTGCCACAGGCATAAAGAATAATAAAGGCACCATAATAACCTTGCAGAATGGGGTGAAGGATTACTGGAAGGATTACTTCGATCAGTTATTGAATGAAACAAACCCAATTAGGGTGCACTTTGATGCACTTCTGGTGGAAGAACCGATTTCTCGAAAGCGCTATCTATTATAAATGAAATCAGTGAAGGTCAATAAAGTACAAATCGATAAGTA